AGGGGAGGGTGGGCTAGAAACCTAATGATAATGATAATAATGATAATGTTGGTCTGTTCAGGATGTCGGCAGAGTTTGAACATGCAGAGGAACGGAGCACCAACTGTGTAAAGAAAATAACTTGGTTTATTGAAGAAGAAATAAACTGATAGTTAAGCCTCTCTCCCTCTCCTCTGTTCTAACTGACTAACTGCTGTGAGAGAGGAATGAAGGGGGGAGGGCTCAGTTGGAGCAGGACATCTCCAAAGAACCAATCAGGAGACAGGAAGGACACAATCTGAAATTGTGGGAAGTCCCTAATCTACTAACTATCAGTCCTCCAGTTGTCCCCTATAGGCTGCTCTTCTGATCTTCTTCAACTAGGTGCACTATAGACCTTGTATATTCCAACACTGGAACCACAGCACAACCTCCTTGTTCAAACAAAGAGGTTAGGGTAACCGAACCCACGGGTCATTTCGTAGAAAAAGAGCTAGGGGAACTCATTAGCATAACTCATTAGCATATGCCACACCCCCTGACATCAGGGGCCCGGCGGTGGACCTGCAAGGCCAGCGGGAGTGCGAGGAAGCCCCGCCAAGGCCCTCCCTGACCCCAGGCAGGCAGGGGTGGGGAGAGGCGGGGAGGAAGCAACTTACCCTCCCTCTTCTCCTGCCTCCTCCTGGCTGAATGAGGGCTGGAAGCGGGGCGGCCGGAAGCAGGGGGTGGGGCTTCGTCATGTGCCCTGCCCCTGCACCTCACCCGGGGGAACTGCATTCCCCCGCGTTCCCCCCCGAAATGACCTCTGACCGAACCTAAACATGTCTGTGTTAAACATTTCTATTGACAACTGGAAAGCAGCTGGCAAGGACGAGGGAAGCCTCTCCCAGTTCATTATAGCCATCTTGTGTGTTTACCTGTAAGGCTACGAAAGGGGGTAGGAACCAGGGGGACAAAATTCTAGGGGCCTTGATCATAGCTCTGCTGATCTGCAGCTATAAATTCAGCAGCCATGTTGTTGAGGAAAAGGGAAAGGCAACTATGACAAAGTATTCTCTCTCACTCTGACCTACATCACAGAAATGATTATGGGGATGATACAGAAAGGGGGACCATGAACACTCCTCTGAGCTCCTTGGAGGAAGGGTGGAATATAAAATGTGAGGAATGAGGGGCGGTCTAATGCACATAGAATCAGCTATTAAGTGTGTTAATGCTAACAAGTCATGTGATTTGTTTTCGTACAATGTTTGTTTTGAATCTAGATGGTGAGAGAGTGGACCCAGAAGGAACCTTGGTCTGGGGTTCCACAGGAGCTTTCCACAGTCCCTAGTTAACCAGAGTTAATTTTTATTTTCCACAACCAACCAGCCAAATAACTATTTACGAACACATTTGGGGGCAGTGGGGCAGAGGAGAATGGTAGGGAAATGGTTGTCTAATGTCCAACTATTCTGCATTTCAGCCTGAGTTTTTCTTTTTATGTTCTTTACCCCTAGGAAATAAAATGGGTTGGAATTCTAAACAAATAATTTTATGCACATCACATTTGGCTCAGTAAACAAACCCATTAGAAGACACTAGCATTTATCAGGCCTGTTTATACGGCATGGTGTAAATCAATAGGCTTTAATATGTTGACATCATCTCTGGATTTGATTCTGGTTAAAAACAGAGGGGAGGGGGAATAACTGTTTCACCCCCAGCTTTCTACCTGTATGGATAAGCAGGGCCAAACCCAGAGAAGACATAACTGTGTGATACCCTGTTGATTTACACCAATACAGGATCAGGCCCAGGGTTATTTCTGTAATTGCCATCATCCACATATTGAATTAACAGAAGATCAACCTAAGATAAACAAACAGATAATGACTCATTCCAATAGACAGTAATTAGTATGTTGAGGATTAGGATCCACTAATGTGCAACAGATAGAGAACTGCGATGCTTTCCCCCTGCCTTTTTTTTTTGCTGCATCCTGTAGAAACCACTGCACATTTCAGTGTATTTTTGAAGCTTGCTGTTTTATGCTCTATAAAATTTTCTTTTGCTCTCCTGAACGTACATATATCAGACACACACTTTAAAAAGGTACCCCAGGTAAAATCATGTGAGCTGTTAATATGTAAATAGCTTTGAATCTGGCTTAGCAGGTGAGATAGGTTATCTCCCCACTTCAAGCAGTTTGCTGAAGGTGGCTCAATAAATCCACAGCTGAGATGGGATTTGAACTCTAAATTTAAAGGCCCAAGTTCAATATTACATCATGCGGACCTCAGTAAGGGTCAATTTCTGCATTCACAGAGTAGTGGCATGGTCAGGACACCTTCTGCAGTAGTAACCCTTGAAACCACATGGAACAGATGTCTGACAGACTGCTTTTAATCCCAGATTACAAATCAGTCCCACCCCCTGCCCCAATGGAAGTCCAGGGAGTTGAATTCAAGTCATAGTGCTGAACAGCTCTCCCATTTCCTCTGCTCTTCAGTACTTTGAGGAGGGTGCCCAATCTTGTTGAGTGTGGGCACTTTTAGCATTTTGAGAAAGTAACAGGCACTAGTACAAAATGGTTGCCATGGTTGGAAGGTGGGACCAGTCATAAGATGGCTAATGTGGGGGTAATTACAGAGGTTCGGAGGCCCTGAGCCATTCACCCTCATGTGATGAAAGAGCTATTTCTACACGGGGGCTCCCCTGCAGTCCCAAAGGTGATACCTACTGGGGATATTCTGAAGCACCTCTGGATTGACTGTTTTAGTAAAGAAGCCAGTGGGCACCAGAAAATACTTTAGTGGGCACCATGGCACCATACTGGGGATCACCATTTTACCCCCTTTATGTAATTTTGGGAGGGTGGGATAGAAGTCGGGAACTTGGGGAGTGTATGTATTCTTAATAACACTTTACACATGTTGAAAGTTGACTGAATAGCCAAATTCACATTTAATAATATTAACATTAATAATACTTTCAGTTTATTAATCGCTTTCCCCAGTGGGCTCAAAGCGATGTACAGTTACACATTAGACAGGGGACTAACAATGTTCAAAGGGGATAGGGAGAAGAAGAGGAGGAGGAGATTGGATTTATACCCCGCCCTTCACTTGGAGTCTCAGAGCGGCTGACAAACTCCTTTCCCTTCCCCTCCCCACAACAGACACCCTTGTGAGGTGGGTGGGGCTGAGAGAACTCCAACACAAACTGCTCTTTTTCAAGGACAGACTGACCCAAGGTCACATCAGCAGGTGCAAGTGGAGGAGTGGGGAATCAAACCCAGTTCCCCCAGATTAGAGTCCGCACACTTAACCACTACACCAAACTGGCTCTCAGTTTGTCTCAGGGAGGACAACATATATTAATTTTTAATTGCACACGCCGTCAATGCACAGTGGAAACGTCTTCTGGCTTGGCTCAGTCATTTTCCGAACAGCTGCTTGTTGACCAGGCTTCAAGACCCGTATGTCACATCGCCACAATGCCACACTATGTCACATCGCCACAATGCCACTCTAACTAGGCCTGGCCGGAGGCATCCACTGCAGGGATTTTTGTAGCTGAGAAGTTCTTTCGCCTTTTTCCGACCTCGACCAGGAAGTCCCAACCGTCAGCTAACACCCTCCCACAAGGGAGATTGGTGTGCCCACCCTCTCTAAGGAGTGGTTCCCATTTTATCTACTCACCGAAGCTTTTGAATCGCTGGGTGGCCGATGAGCTGGGGACAACAGGCTGGCTGCTCACACCAGTGCGGGGCTCGAACTAAAACAGTTTGGATGTTAAGACAGTGGGATATACCCACTGTGCCACCGCTTCTGGCTAAGAAACATTAAGGTTTTGTTTTTTTGCCATCAAGTTGCAGCTGATGTATGGCAAACACATGGGGTTTTCAAGGCAAGAGACATTCAGAGATGGTTTGCCGTTGCCTGCCTCTGCATTAAGACCTGGCTATTCCTTGGTGGTCTCCCATCCAAACACTAACTAGGGCCAACTGCTTCGCTTCCGAGATCGAGATAGCCTGAGCTGTCCAGGTCAGGGCAGAACATCTACTTGATGGTTAAATTGGAGAACAACATTAGATAAAAGAAGTTATCAGCCACTATTCTGGGCATGATAATCAATGCAGCTTTCAATTTGCCATCAACAAACCAGTCCTTGAAGAAGAAATCTCGAGTGTAGCTGTTCTTTAACTTTTCTTATTATTTTCCAAGTTGGAATTTAGCAAACTGGCAACTAAGGTTAAATGAGTTAATTTTTTTGCTGCCTGAAGGAAGAAAATCCAGGAACAAAAATATAAGAGAGACTTCTATTTAAAAAGATAGAATCTTTCATTGGTGTCCCTTAATTGGTTTCAGACAGAGAGGCTAACAATGTGGCTTTTTCAGACAGACTTGCCTTGCTTTGAACAGCACAATTTAAATTCAGCCTTGAGATTAAAGGTGGAACCAAGCAAAGCTTGAAGAAATCATCGAGGAAGTACTGACAGTACATTTGTAGACAAGGAGATCAGTTGCTACATCACTTACAATTTTTAGTTTGATTTCTCTCAAACCTTTCATGCCAAGGGTCAGCATGACACGATGGTTAGAGTGTCAGACTAGGCCTGTGGAGACCCAAGCTCAAATCCGTCTGTCACAAAACTCACTGAGGGACTTTGGGCTATTCACTGTCTGGACATAATCTACCTCACATTCACTGTCTGGACATAATCTACCTCACATGGTTGTTGTGAGGATCAAATGAGACACAGGGAGAAAGGAGACATGTACCCTGAACTATGTTTGAGGAAGGGTAGGATAAAGATGTACCCCAAAACACTTCAAATAAATAGAACAAGATTCAAATCCAGTAGCAACTTAAAGACCGGCAAGATTTTCAGGGTATAAGCTTTCGCGAATCAAAGTTCCCTTCGTCAGTGTATTTTCAAATAAAGAGCAACACATTCACACCACAATTCCAATCAAGCATTAAAACCAAAACTGTTTATTGTGAATAAAGGCAACAAGAAACAAGTTTAAGCCAGGGAGCATTGGACACACATATTTTTACAGCTGGAGATGGGTGGTGGTGGAAGGAATTCACAAAATAGGAAACAAGCGGTCAAAGTAATCTCTTGGGGCTTCTGACATCCTTTCCTGTGCCTAACAAAGCAGCAGAAGCACCCATCCTGGCAAATGTCAGTCACCTTAGTCCAAGAGGTCCAGAAAAGTCATGTAAAGGCAGGCTACAGCTCTGCCCACTTTTGACTGGTCTTCCTCCAAGCCTAAGATCTACACCTGAATGCTATCTGAGCAGTCCTTTCTCTACAGAACACCAGCACCAGCTACAGGGTCAAGAATGGGTTAAAGACAAAGTCAAGACATGCTCCCATCAAATGGAATGGAAAATGGAATGGATATGTAAAAATCATATCGCTGCACATACCCCTTGTGATAATATGTTAGACATTTCTAACTTCCTCAAGCCAGATACCTGCTCTGGACCAACAAGAATTGCTCCCTTCGAATGTAATATTAAAATTAATCATAATGTGAGTGATGAACACCCAGGCTGAAATAAACAACCTTCTAGGATATATTCGAAACAAGATTTTTATCCTCAGCAGTCCTATGAAGAACTAATTAATTTGCCCCTCAAATAACATTAAAAGGCCTTAAAACATGCACATATGAAGTGCATCATTATCCCTGATTAAACCTGTTTTATTTGCTATTGTAAGTTGCCTGTAATGCCAGTTCATAGTGAGTGGCAAGCATTTGTCACATACAGTTCAAATACGGGAGAAGTCTCTCCTTTGATTTACTGTTTCCTCATGTAAAACGGAAAGGGCAAACAATCATTTCGGGAGTAAGGGAGATCTCAGAAGCACTTCAGCCAACTCAGAGCCATCATTCTACAATCAAACTTCAGTTTAAAGTAATGAAGTGATAGGTCTCTGCAGGCATTTGGGAGCCAACCAGAAAGCTTCAAGGCATTGAGGAATTACTTGATTGGTTGCAGGGATGGTCAGTCTGCATTTTCTGAAAGCTATGGCCGCCATCATAGCGTTTACATTTTCCAGTGCTCTTCATACCAGCTTGATGGTCTCCTGCTCTAGCATAGCAGCTGATCACTCCAGCCATATTTAATCAACACCACCAGAGTTCCCATCAGGCATTGCATGCAGTGGCACATGCCAGTAGGATAATCTTAACATTTTGGCCCAAACCTGCCAGAACAGGACGAGTGGCAAGGAGGAGTCAATTCTTATCTGGTGATTATTCAATAGATTAGCATTGGATGGAAGCAGGAAGCGGATCGGCATTCTTGGGTACAGCTGGAAGGCAGGGAGAAGTCTCAGTCAGAATCACTGCTGCTCGAAGAGGAGGAGGAATGCTGTGAAGAGGAAAGAGAGAAAAATGCATTATGAGACATTGGCCTTGTTAACGGAATGATCAGGTTTCATCAACCCCAGGGCTCCGCACCAGAAAACGAGACAAAGCATACCATCACCTGAAATCAGTTATTTTTCTCCACCTGCCAGACATTTGAGCAGATTGTCTCCAAAGACATACAGAATACTTATCGGCAAATCACTACATACAAGTTCCTAGTACCTGGAGCTACTGATTCAACAGAGGTTTGAACCCAGACACCTCTCCTTGTATACATTAAATGCCACAGTAAGTTGCAAGTTATGGGACTATATGTGGGGTGGGAAGTAAGAAGTCCACAGCTGCTTCAGTATTCCACAAATCCCCACTACTTCTCTGGAACACTTTGCTGTGATGGGGAGCCCATCTATACAAAGTTAGACATCCGGCAGTCCCAAAGAATCTAAACCAGTAATTGGACATTTCTGTTTGCTGATTAAATAAACTGGACTAATTGTTCGTCTACTCCCCTTTTTCTCCCTGCGGTTTCTTTTGTTCCAGTAGTACAATTGTCAAGATTATCCCAAACTTCCACTTTCTCTAGTTCTAACCAAGCTCTGCAGGGCCAGTGATGTAGCTTCCTGTTTCATCTGATAAACAGGCCTGTCATCTTTTATTTTCACAGATGGATGCAAAGAGCTAATGAGCGTCACTTGAAACCATCACTTAATCTATTGATCTTCTACTGGCGGACTCAGCCTTGACTTATACAAGTTGCACTGATGGATCATGTTCACCTTGTGGATGGAGAAGGAAGACATGGAAGGAAAAACGGCTCTACGCAAATCAAGGGACTACACCCCTATACAATTAAAGAGCCAAATGGTGTCAAAATTCAGAGCACGAGCTCAACACAAGAGTCTATTTGCATAACTGAAACTATACAGTTTAGCATCATCACTAAAAATGAACATAATAGTTTCTGCTGCCCAAACATTGATCGCTGTGAGTCCTTGATTATCAACTGGTAGGCACAAGGTCTTGTAGTGTCATAAATATGCACAGTTGTATCCTATACAATTATTTCAGAGCAGTGACATAGATCTGTGAGTCCTTGATTATCAACTGGTATGCACAAGGTCTTGTAGTGTCATAAACATACACAGTTGTATCCTATGCAATTATTTCAGAGAAGTGATATAGTACATGGTTCCAACCTGGATTCCTAGTAACTGTTCAGTTTTGTTATTTCCTGTTTCTGTAAAGCATCTCTAAGAAGCCCTCTAATCCCATACAAATCTTTTGCCTGCCACTCCCTTCACATACCGATTATTCCATCATCTTACCTACCCCTCCAAAAATCACTTAAAGATTTCATTTCATTTTATTTAACAGATATATTGGGTTCCTTTTCTAGCACCAGTTTGGTGTAGTGGTTAAGTGCGCGGACTCTAATCTGGGAGAACCGGGTTTCATTCTCCATGCCTCCACTGACACCTGCTGGATGACCTTGGGCAAGCCATAGTTCTGTCAGAGCTGTTCTTGAAAAAGAACAGTTTCTGTCAGAGCTCTCTCAGCCCCACCCACCTCACAGGGTATCTGTTGTGGGGAGGGGAAGGGAAAGGAGTTTGCAAGCCGCTCTGAGACTCCTTTGGATAGTGAAGGGTGGGGTATAAATCCAATCTCTTCTTCTTCTTCTCTCTTATTGAGCCAAAGACTGCAGAGCCCCGATATAGATATTTTACCTTTACATTCAAGAGAATTAAAAGCAAATCCCATTTGGCATGTTGGGGATAATGCTGAGTCCTGGAAAGGCTGAGAAATCGATCCCAAGACTCTGTAGGCATCAAAGGCTCATCCAAGTAGCAGAAGACACACTTTTAAAAACAAGACATTTAAATCACAAACCAGGGTTTGCTGTTTCAGCTGTGGGTCAGTATGGAGTACAGGTAAGAAAATGGCCATAGTTATCCCTCCTATTCCTCCAAGACAGAACAGTACCAATAAAGAATATAAGTCACTTTTATACCTAATCACAATTGTGGGGAAGGAGCATCATAGAGCTATGCTTCGAGAGACAATGAAGTCTGAGCCACTAGTAGGTATTCCCCTCGACTGTGCGAGTATTCCCCTCTACTTTCCATGCAGACAGAGGGGGCATCGTTAAAGTAAAAGCAGCTTAAGGCATAAAAGACCCTGAAAATCCAATTCCTGTATTGATACTCTTACCATAGTTAAGACCTAAACAATTTAACATCTGGTACTAATATTCCTGTGGTACTGTGGTACTGCGGTGGCTCAAGTGGTTAAGACGCTGAACTGCAGGCTGTGGAAGGTCGGTAGTTCAGCAGTTCAAGACCTGGGTGCCACATGACGGAGTGAGCTCCCATCTCTAGATCCAGCTCCTGCCAACCTAACAGTTCGAAAGCAAGAAATTGCAAGTAGATAAATAGGGACCACTTCGGTGGGAAGGTAACAGCGTTCCGTGAGCCTTGGTGTTTAGTCATGCCGGCCACATGACCACGGAAACGGCTTCGGACAGTTCTGGCTCTTCGGCTTTGAAACGGAGATGAGCACCGCAACCCTAGAGTCGGATTCGACTGGCTTTCGAGCAAGGGAACCTTTACCTTTACTAATATTCCACATGACTGCAAGAAACATCAACACCCCAATATAATTAAAAATCCCCGAAATTATTTCAAAAGCAAGGATGTAGCCTCTATGGTTGTAGAGATGTGTTCAGGGAAGGGTCAATACCTTTCAAAATTAAAGGCAGGCAAAATATCAGCACTGTTGATCCAGCAAGAGATCACGGACATGGGGAAGCCAACTTCACTGTTCATCTCCCCCACTGGATGAGGAGCCATGAATGGATTGCACATACAGAGCTCCTCTTCACCCAGCTGCCTGGGCGATAGGCACAAAGCCCTCTTCAGAAAGCAGCAACTGCATTCATCAGCCATTTGAGGCAGAGATGGGGGGGGTGTGCCAGATTCCGCCCCCCCGGCAATGCTGCTATGCTCATCAGCAATTGGATTAGGAGCCCAAGAATTTGGACAGCCAGGTTTCTCATTCCCAAAAAGATGAACCTAGATACTAGGCCTCAAAACAACCAGCATGGTGTAGTTGTTAGAATATCAGAACAGGATCTAAGCGACCCAGGTTAGAATCTCCCCCTCCACGGTGGAAGTTTGCAGGGTGATTTTGGGCCAGTTGCACCCTCTCAGTCTAAATTACCTCACAGGGTGGTGGTCAGGATAAAATTGGAGGAGAGAAGAACAATATAAGCAGCTTTGGGTTTCCCTTTGGGATTAGATTCATGGAGGATAAGTCTATCAATGGCCACTCGTCATGGTGACTAAGGGGAACCTCCACAATCAGAGGCACTAATGTTCTGAATCCCACAGCCAGGCGGCAACATCAGGGGAAGGACTCGTCCTCTGTGCCCTGTTGTTGGCCATCCAGAGGAAATGGCTTGCCAGAGTGTGAGACAGGATGCTGGACCAGTTGGACTACTGGTCTGATACAGCAGGGCTCTTCTTATGTTCTTACACAGGCAGTGTATGAATGAAGTAGATAAATAACGGGATTTTAATTCCAATCACCTTGCAGCCATCATCCTAAGGGCAGAAGATACAGTGACTCTTGAGGGCAAACAGACCTCCTTTGCTCACACTCCAGTGCTACAGTTGAAAGAAGCCCACAGTGCACGGTTGAGCCCCTTCCCCTCCCTGGTCCTCCCCTTCCACAGACCTTGCCGTGCAGCTTGTGGAGCTTATGTGGTTTGTGCATCTTGTGAGCCTTCTTCATCTTCTTCCTCATCTTCTTCGCTTCCTTCTTATCCATCACGTGGGTGCCCACAACAACAGCTCCAGGCAGCAACGGGTTAATCCCCATCCCTCCTGGCATCCCCGGGGCAGGCGGAGGGTAGGGGCCACCAGGTGGGACAGGGTAGCCAGGCTGGTGGTGTCCAGGATACAGGGGCTGAATAGGCTGGCCCGGAGGGTAGGCGGGCTGGCCTGGGATCCCTGCTGGGGGAACAGGATACGAGCCACCAGGGACAGGTCCTGGGGGGAAACCAGGATTCACTGCAGGAGGATACGCGGGATTGGAGCCAGCAGGGTAGGAAGAGTTGGGAGGATAGGCTGCCCCAGGGTAGGTACCAGGCTGGCCTAAAAAAAAGGGAAGAAAAATTCTGATCAGCTGGCAAGAACTCACTAGTCCTTGCTGCAGTCATCTTCTACCCCCCCCCCCCCGGTCACTACTTCTTAAGATCCAAGCTGACCAGGAGACTATACTTGCTAATCTAGCAAGAGTCCAATATTCTCCGAACATGTCATCACTATAGCTACCCGCTATATGCAATCTTCCACTCTATCTTCAGTCCATCAAGTCTTCAAGCTTCACTCCCACCCGCAGATTATGACCACTGTGTTGGGTTAAGCAGCATCAAAGTCAACCAACATCTTTAGGCGATTTAGCTTCCCGATAACACAGTGATCCCCAACAGGGCACCTTCTGATCTGTTTCCTAGCACCCAATTCCTTCTTTGCCAAAGCAAACACCCACTAGCTTTCTTCCACTTCAGTGGAACAGGAGGTACTTCAGAGGAGAGTCCAGGAGACATAATTTTGTGTCTACAGAAAGTACCCATTTGGAATCCACCATCTCCATCACAGGGGCTGGCCCCAGCCCCGTTGCCAACCATTTTGTCATTGGCTGAACCCACCCATGGCAGCCATTTTGTCGTGGCACCTACGTCCTATTCTCACAATCTGAGAAGCGCGCACTGGCTTAACGAGGTTGGGGCCCCTGCACTAAATAGGTGCAAAGGTCACTGTTCTTCATTCAGCAACGGTTGTTGTCCAGGCCCATCCAATGATATGCACGATCTGAAAGACAGTCACCACCAATGCTCCCTCTGAGCTGTGGAGTCTTGTGAGCAAAAATTCCACTTTGTAAGGTACTGGCATAAAAGCTGTGAGCGAGTGATTTGGCTACTGCATAAATTCGTTTGCTCTGGAGCCATTCTTTCTGAGCTAAGACAAAAATGTTTGAGCTGGAGGCTAAAAAACTGTGAGCTAGCTCACACTAACTCAGCTTAGAGGGAACACTGGTCACCACTAACCCTAACTAGGGTGGGCAACCCCAGATGCAGTCTCCAAGGCAATTCAGAGGTTGCCATTTGTACTACTGTGCATGGAGAGCATTTCGAGATTTTAGAAAAGCACAAATGATTTTAGAAAAGCAATGACAAATGAGACATCCATGACTAGCAATACTCTGCTGAGTCACTGTGGACAGTGTCTTGCGTACAGCAAGCAGGGGAGGCACACACTTCTACAAAGTGAAGGATCACCACCGACTTGGAGGCAGGCTAATTCAGTCACAGAAGGAGTGCTGGCCTGACCTGTATGTGACCACCCTGCTAGCTACCTCTGTGTAGAATGTTCAATGCCTCCTTTTTCAAGTTAAGCGCCTGCCAGAGCTTTGCCATCAAAGAAAGCTTTAGTGCTGGTGAAATTATATCAGCAGGACGGCAAAAGCTGAAACTTGGCTCTTACTGAGAGTCAGCTACAAGTGAATTACGAAGCACCAGCCAATTAGGAAGCACGAAAACTCTTTTTGGAAGTAGCCAGTGCTTATTAAGATGCCTTCAGTCCAGAAGCCACCTACAGCTTGCCCAAGAATAGCTAAGAAGCAATGCCCTATTATGTTACACCTCATGATGCATTTTCGACAGAGTGGCACTCCAGAGAAACCCATCAAAGATTATTCAGACTCTTACCTGGATTGGGATTCCACATGGTCCACAAGATGAGAAAAATTCGTCACCTGGTGGGAGAAAGATACTATTAGATCAGCTAGGTAGGCACTGCATGAATCAACCCAGAGCAAAGTCTACATCAAAAAGGTCAAACTTCATTAATTTATATGAGTCCACAGTGGCCAGTCCTATACAGACAGATTCTACCAAAGAACAACAAAATATTACTTAGGAAGGGCAACATGGAATACACAGCTCTGATTAGAATTCAGGATCTCAATTAAAAATAAGGTTTCTAGCCCTCATGGCTACAGGAAGTGATAATTTGAAATCATTCTGAAAAAAGAGCAACTACGCCAACATTTGGAATTAAAATCTGCATTTCCTGCAGTCAACACCATCCAATTCTTTAGGGCCAGCAACATCCCAAAAGATAAAAAGGTGAATGCATCTCAGCCATTTCCTGTTCCTGATATGAAGCTATTTCCACAGAAACTAATCAATTTATAATTGCATTCTTCTTCCGCTCCATGGGACTATGGAGATAAATGTTCTGATACAGCCCACAAAACACCCACGTCTGGTCTAAGCAGACCAAAAAGGCATGGATTTCAAATGGCCCAGTCTTTTCAGCTTGCTGATACAAAACGACCAGCATCTCTTATATATAAATAGGGCTGCCAGGTCCGGGTTGGAAAATACCTGGAGATGTGGAGGGTAGAGCCTGAGGAGGGTGGGGTTTGGGGAGGGACTTTGATGGGGTATAATGCCATAGAGTCCACCATCCAAAGCAGCCATTTTCTACAGGTGAATGAATCTCTGTCGCCTGGAGATCAGTTATAACCCCAGGAGATCTCCAGCCACCACCTGGATGTTGGCAACCCTCTATATAAACCAGTTCCTATCATTCTCTCACACTGTAGTGTACACAAGAAAGGATCAGGCCATGCAGACAGGGCCAGGCTTGATTCTCAATGGCTGGGATCTTCAGGGGTACGGAGCAGTTTACATACACATGCCCCATTACAATGGTGTTGCTAAGCAACACTCCTTGGGGAACAGTAAAGTACTGCACTTTGGGGACAAAAATCTGCTCTCCATCCTTGACACTAGATAATTCTGCCCTGACAGATGGGGACTTTGTGGAGTATAGTTTCTCTGAAGAGAAATGTAGATCTTCATAATATACAAGCCTTCCTCTAGCATACAGCCCACACATAGGAAATTTTGCTCTCCTAGTGTAAACACCAGTCTCCATAGTGCTGCCCATCAGGCAACCATTTGCAACTTAATAAGCAATGACACATTATTCTAAGATCAGGGGTCCCCAACTCTTTTGAGCATGCAGGCACATTTAGAATTCTGACATAGCATGGTGGATGCAGCAACAAAATGGCTGCCACAAAATGGCTGCCGCTGTAGGTGAAGCCAGCCGCAAAATGGCTGCCATGGGCAGCTTAACTTCAATAACATAGTGTAACTGTAAATCCTTGTGCTCTGATGGCAGCTGTTGCCAAAGCAACATTTTTAAAAAATCTGCACAGCCAGTCAATCTGTCAAAAGCCCTACCAAAACCCCTACCAGAAGGCAAAAGCCCTACCAGGGCCCACCCACTTCCTAGAAGCACTTGGGGGGGATGCCAGAAAAGGTGTTGGAGGGTGCCATGGCACCCACAGGAACCACATTGGGAACCCATTCTAAGAGTGCTCAAGCCACTCAAAAGACAGTAGTTCTTATAGCACCCCCACAAGATAATTAGTACCCCATATTGTCAGGTGGGGTGGGAAGGGAAGAGGTACAAAGCTGACAGGCAGCTCGCCTACCTAAGGACTCAGTGGCTTCAAGGCCACAGTGAGATTCGAATCAAGGATTTCCTCTTTTAACATGACGCTAGTTCTGGAAAAGAACAGGAGATACTTTTCTTAATGAATAAAAATTACAATACTGTTTTACTGCATGGTACTTATAGAGTACATGGCGATTTCCTGGTCCAAGGGGCTTACAGTCTAAAAGCTGCCCTATGGGAAACAAAGGCAGGGAAATGAGGTGGGAATAAACATGGGGAAGAACCTACAACTTTCCACGAGACAGCACAATCCACTGTTGTGTAGTGGGTTAACGTGTCAAACTAGGATCTGGGAAATTCAGGTTTGAATCCTCTGCCACAGAAGCTGGCTGGGGGACCTTGGGCCAGTCGCGTCATGTCAGCCTAAGCTACCTCATGGGGGAGGAGTGGCTGTGCGGATAAAATGGAGGATGGGAGAATTATGTTGTAAGCCACTTTGGGTCCCCACTGGTGAGAAAAATAAACAATAAAAAATAAATGAAAAAAAGAAATAATAAAATGCTTTTGCCATGTCTGAGAGAATTTCACAGGATCTACAGAGTAAGAAATGAGACCCAAACTGTGGTTACTGAACTGGAAAGAAATGGCATAGGACAAGGCCTGCCACCCACTGTCCCAGTTCTACAGCCATTAGACGTAATTGTTCTTTTGGAACAGCACAGGCCCTACATTGCCTACCTTGAACTGCACTGTCACCTGTGGTAAGCCCAGTACAAACCGGACACAGGATCCCATTTATTTACTTCTACAAAAACCACAGAAGCTGTGCAAAAGTCCACAAGCAGCCGGAGTTTGTTCCGTGCATGGACTACACACAAACCAAATGAGAAGGGAAACAAACAAGAGAGGAAGATACATACATGGAAAGTAAGGCCCAGAAAATGCACAAAGAAGCAAAGACTAGTGACAAATGCATGGACATGATCAATGTTCCCTCTAAGCTGAGCAAAAATTCTGCTTTGTGAGCTACAGGCGTTAAAGTTGTGAGCAAGCGATTTGGCTGCTGCATAAATGAGTTGGCTCTGGAGCCCTCCTTCCTGAGCTAAGACAAAAATGTGTGAGCCGGAGGCTAAAAAACTATGAGCTAGCTCGCACTAACTCAGCTTAGAGGGAACACTGGACATGATGACAGTTATGTGCTAGAGCCCTGGTTCTCAATCAAAGGCACATATAGCACCAGTGTGACCCAGAAGCAGTCTAGGTGGACCATTAGGTGTTTATAAAAATCACTAAGAATTTGTTCTCTCTCAGACCTAATAACACTACTGCAATTAATTCTTTTTGGTGCTTTATAGTTTACATAGCAGTAAAATTTATACCCAACAGTATTACTACCATTTTCAAATACTAATGGAATCATTCTTGCTTATTTGTGTTTTAAAGCCATAGCAACTGAAATTGTTTATAGCCATAAAAAATTAATGTACATCTATATATATAAAAGACAGTCCCCTCACCGTAAAATCAATGCTCAGGCCAAACTGCTGGACCTAGAGACACCAAATTTGGGGAGAGTGCTCCTACCGTGGCGTAGGTGCTCGCTAAGAAGGGATTTTTAGAAATTCGACCCCTAAGTGGGTCAAAAGGGGGGAAATGTGCTCCTCCCATTGATTCCTATGCAGCTGCCAGGCAGCTCTCTCCCTGCACCCCCCACTCTCTGATTGGTCAGCTGCAGATCTCATAGTTCTAAGGTAAAAAACCCAACAGTTATAGGGGACTGCTGACAGCTAATGACAGTTGAGGAAATCGGGAGAGGCCAACAACCATCTGTGAGGTTCAGTAATGCTGCTGGCCCAGCCTCTCCAATGGCTTCCAACACATTCCCCCCACCTCCTACACTTAACAGGCGGTTGTCTGTCAGGTGCAGCCCCACCTCCACAGTAGCTTCTAATACTCCTCCCCCTCCACCACTGGACAGGCAGCTGCCTGTCAGGTGTAGCAGAGGAGGTGAGATGGCTTCCAACACACTCCTCCCACCTCATACACCTAACAGGCAGTTGTCTGTCAGGTGCAGCAGCGGTTGCAGGGTGCTTAAAGCCACGAGGGAGCCTGCCCCAGCAGTAACGCCTTAGTGATCCTGCCAGCTCTGCCTTCACAGTGGCTTCTAATACTCCTACCCCCTCCCTATCCTACAATGGACAGGCAGCTGCCTGTCAGGTGTAGGAGAGGAGGTGGGATGCTTACAGCCACCAGGGAGGTTTGCTCAGCAGGATTGCCTTAGCACTGCTGCTGGCACAGCCTCCCCGATGCCTTTAAATACAATCCCCCCCCCCCAGTAGTAGACAGGCCGGTGTCTGTCAGGTGCAGGGCATGAATGTTTATGGGGAGATAATGAAGGACATTTCTAGGAGCCATTCCGATGCGTGCCTCCCTCACGAACCTGAAGAAATGTCCACCACATCACCACTCCCTCACACCAACTCCCCCTCACACCTCTCACCTCTTACTACTCCCAAGAAAGCTCCTGGCAAACATCGAACCAGATACACCAACACTACAAGGATAGGAATGCGGCAAAGACATTTGCACATAGTACTCCTGCAGTGCACTGAGCTGCACAGGCCAAGTACCAGCAAGATCACCCTGAGGTGCTCAGAACAACACAGTCTCCATATGAGCAAAACAATCCAGGAACACAAGTAGAGAGGCCATCACTTTCGTGGAAGGTAGCAGGAGTTGACTTAACAGACGACCGCTTCGTAAATGGACAGTTCTATGTGGCCTGCTCCAGAGTGAGCTCATCAAGCAACCTAGTCATCCTAGCACCTGAGGGCAGAACCACCAATGTGGTCTAGAGAGAGGTCCTTTGGTAGAGAGAAAAAAAGTACGTATGTCTCACTTCATTTCTTACACTACACTCTTCTCTGTTAGAATTCCTACAACAAATGTCACATTTCAGATTTCTCATCATCAGTATTATAACTGGATTTATGGAACTTAAATACCGTAGCGAAGCAAGGGTAGCAGGCTAGTGATAAAGTAACAGAATGCCTGTAAACCTATCAGTGCCCTTGAAAAAAGTGGACTTATTGTTTCTATCATGGTGGGACCTATATACTTTGACAGAGTGATTGGCAGGATGAAACATAACGAAATCTTGAGAACCATTGGGCTACAACAGGAGTGCCCAACATGGCACCCATCAAGTGTTTTTAGAAAGCGGGCAGAACCAGATGGGGCCTTTGCTCAGCATTAGAGATCTGATTGGCTGTGCAGATTTTT